CATATATGAACTGGCAGATGTCGCTGCATGGCACAAACCGTGCCACCAACTCACCTCATCGCAGAGAGAAAGCACCATTGACTCGAGCTGCGGCTGCTCCGCCAACTCTGCATCATCCTGGCGATGTCGAGTAAAAAAGGCGCAGAGTGTTCGAGCAAATTTCCTCTTCCCTGACACAAAGGCTGCCTTGGACTGCTGCACCATACGGGTCTCGTTGTCTCTGGTTGTCTTGACGCCGTTTCGGTATGTAACCCTTTTTTCCTGGCGGACCATGCAATGGACCTGAGAGATTGTCAAGCAGACGACGGACTAGAAAGAAATCTTTATTGGTTAGCTTCTCTGTGTGCAGTTGGCTGTGTGCGATCTTCTTCAATATTTAGAGGATGAGAATCGGATAGTATGACGCAGAAAGACATCGGTGTGCGAAGTGAGTGGCACAGGAATTTGCAAGGTCAGCCGTGCCGATCACAACCGTCAACTGCAGGACTATGCTGCATCTCGTGGCCCGAATGCTGCCACAGCTTCCAGTCACGCACGGGAAACATAATATTATTGCCCCTGACGCATCTTCATTACAAGCACATGCAGTAGGAAACGCCTTCTGCTTGCCGACGCAGTAGAGATGGACATGCGGCGTGTCTGCCTCGTGCTGGCTGCACAGGCATCGTCAAACTGGTAGCAGAGTTTTGCAGGTCCTCACATTCCCTCTGCTAGAGTGTAACAAGAGATACAACAAACTGAGGATATGTACATGCAAAAGCTGCATGAAAAGACCGGCTTGGCTGCCCTTCTCCAAGAAATATTCAACAGTTCGGGGCCGCCTTTTTGTTAGAATTGGGAATCAATGTCGCACCTTGCAGGCAGAGCCATGACAGCAGCGGAAGACAGTGCAGGCGGGTTGTGTTCCGCGATCCTGCAGTCCCAGGGCCGTGGTTGAGAGGAGGTGCTGATTATGCAAACTACGACTACGAAGAAACGACCCAATCGAGGACATCAAACCCTGGCATTGGTTACCCGTTTCTATCCGTGTCCCGTACGACAAGGTGAACACGACACTGTCTAACGACTTTGACTGCTCAGGAGAGTGTAACTGGCATGCTGCAGCTGAATGCAGGCTTGTTCCAGGCTGGCAAAAAATCAGCTGACAGCAGGTCATGCGAGTGGCGGGCTAGTGACTAGTGGGATAGTCTGGCACCGTTCTACGAGCAGCAAAGTAGCAAGAGCAACAAATAGTCCTGTAGGCTTGCTTTGAAGAACTGAGGTGAAGCTGAAGCCACATAAGACCTTGAAACTTGAAAGCCGAGATCTATGCACCGCTCCGCCCGCTCCTCACCGCGTGGAGCGAGGCACGTCCGTAGGCGCACTGGGTCCTCCGAGCTGACCCCGTTCTCTTGCAATCAGCTGGGGAGGCCCCGTGGCTACCAGCATGGCTCTTGATGCTGCCGTCCTTCTGCAGAACTGAAAGGACGTGCTCGATACCGGGTGCCTGAGGCATCCGTCACCAACCGAAGGGAGCCAACAACTGGAACAGGCAGCTGCGGTGTGCTGTTTCACACTCCAGCAGGTGACATGTCCAAAGACTTCCGAGCTCCCCTTGCCTGGTTGTGCTCTAGCCGCAGCCAGCACGGAATGGCCTCAACGTGAAAAACGGCGAAGTGCGAACATGCAGCCGTCAGCTCTTCTGTCCCGGCCTGCCTCATCCAAGTGCTCCACTGACCTGGGATACGCCTCGCGGGGATGCCGGGCCAGAGCAATCAGCAGCTGCGCCATGCCACGGTGGCCGATCTGGTTGTGAGACAAGTGGATCTCCTCGGAGGTCTCTTGGCGTCGGCTCCGTCACTTCAATCCAGCAACTTGCTGCAATGGATGACAACCCGGCTCCACGGGCCTCACAGGCTTCCGGCTGCTGCCAGAGCCACGCAGCCAGCGCTGAGGCAGCGGCGTTGCCAAGCTGGGATAATGGACAGTTCGGGTGAGATCTAGAAACAACTTCATCTGCAAGCACAACCGACAGCGGGGCGGGTGCACAAAATCTGAAACAACGGAGAAGGCAGACTATGGAGCTCTTGCCCATGGTACAAGCCGATTGACTGGTTCAAGCTAAAACAAAAAGGCGCGCTTCCGATGCGTAGCAAGTTCGGAACATCATCTGTGCACACCTGTAGAGCACATTACAGTATCTGCATGTGCAACACAACAATTTGAAGCGGAGCCCCCTGCATGGTCACTGAACACACCACAATGCAATGGATTTCATGACAAAACAGACCCGGATAAGACTTCTGGATGTTCGGAGCACTTTGAAAAGGTTTGTCGTCTGAAGTACGGATGCTCGAGATGTCTGCAATCTCGAACCAGGTCTGGTTTTCGTTTACTCGCCGTGAGCTCCACTTTCCACATTTGCGGCACTGACTTCACCAAAACGCTTGTGTGACATCTGTTCAATGGAGAAATTTGGCTCGACAACGGTGTTGCCAGCGAAGCTCAACAAACACGCGGGGTCAGGGGTACATGCGAATGCCTGGGTCAGCAGATTGATCGAATGCCGTAATGGGCTAAGCGACTTTGCATCTATGCCGGTTCGCAGCCGTTCATCGTTCGTAACGCCGGAGCATCATGCAGCTAACATCATGCACTCAGATACCGAATTCTTTCGATCTTTCGTATCCATGGCTGTCTGCATAGAGACTCGTCGTGGCTCCTTCTGTAGGTAAGTGTTCACATGCATGCTCCTTGTACGGCGAAGGGAACAACAGCAGCTCCTCCGAGGGCAAGGCATTGTTTTTGAACAGCTTGACAATCCGCAGGCATGAACCTTCCGGCTTGAGTTTGCAAGAGATTCGGAGATCGGTGATGCCATGTGATGCCACTCGGTGTCAATGCAGGCATTCTGGCTGTGCACAAAGATGTTGTCTCTTGCAGCTCTACAATCAGTCAGGCTGTGCCGACCATGCGAGGAGCCTAGTCCGGATGCGCACTGATGTTGCATCTGCGAGCCCTGGTGAACTTAGCAGTGGCTCACCCCTACATACCGTTTACAGTGAGACATCGTTGCCTTGGAACCTAACTGCAACTCCAGCAGTGCACAGCAGACGCCAAATCTTCGGCCCTATTCGCAGGGCCTCCCTTGCGTTTGGCCAGCTGTCTGCGCAGTACATCCTCCGACATGTTCAAGCAAACAGGAACGAGTTGCAATCATGAGTTGGCACAGATTATGTTGAATGTCGTCGAACTGACCACTCCAGTTGTCACATAATGCAGTAAGCTCGATTGCAGCTGACCTAGCCGGCACACTTCCCCCCCTCGCGGACTCCTCACCCACCCCACATGCAACCCCCGCACACCCCAAGCCCCCACCCGCATGAGCCATCTACCTCCTCTGCCCATGCCCAAGATCGAAACAAAGTCCCAGCCTTGCCCACAAAAGAAAACACACAACGCCCCACAACGAACTTCTGAAATCCTGACAAAACCCTGGGGCTGCCGAGGAGCCAGGATCCAAGCTGCTGCTGCGTCGCTAAGTTCGGATTCTGCAGCATCCAGCCTTTCTCACGGAAACCCTCCGGCTCAGCGAAATCCCTTGACAGTAGCCTTACCCTACGATCACAAGACGCGCTTCAAAGCTCACAATAGGAATCGCGGCTTTGCTAGGCTTGTGATACGATAGGCCGACAAGCTTTGCCAAGATTATCTCCATTTCTTCGGGTCTTCGAGTAGCTCAATGCGCAGGTCCAAAGCATCGTCCACGCGTCCCAGGAATCGGCCCAGAGCCGAAAGCAGCGAGGACACCTCTCCCTTGGCGCGGGACGCCGACAGCCACCAAACCTTCTAAACCCTGCCTATGGCCTATGTTTCTGAATCTGAACCTTGACAGAAGATCGCAAGAATTCTTCTTTCGAATCGGAGCGCGATCCTCAAAGCGAGTTTGCATGTTTGACTCCCATCCGACTTAGCTGAGCCCAAACGATGACCTGAACCCTTGGAATGGCAGACCAAGTCGAGCAGCATTGCACAGCCCAGACCCGCGCAAACCGATCGAAAGGGAAGCGTAGCTATAGGTGTGTTCCAAAGCCTCAGTTGTCCGCTACCGGCTGCAAAATAGCTTTGTCGGAGCATGTATCTTCGCATGCTAGGCTCGAATCTCTGGGCTTATCAAAAAGTCCGATCTGCACCACTGGCTCTGGATACACAGCTGGGACCAACAGTGCGGTCTTGGTGTACTCAGTGTACTCTGTACTACCTGCTGCGATTGGATCGCATCGCTAATTACCTGATTTCTTGGAGGTGCAGTGAGGTCAGGACGCATGACGCGTACCTACACTTCAGACACGATTTCCGTCCCAAACTCAATAATAAGTAAAAATTCCACAAACCTGGGACGAACGATGAAACTCAATGCCCTGCAACCCCCTTCGGAGCTGAACACGCAAGCCATTCGCATCTAGCAGCAAAATGCCGATCCCACCAGGCCATGTCTCATGGCTCGCAGCTTTGTCTCCATCGTGCGTTGATGCTTCGCGCGAGGATTCTCGAGTTGGGTCTCAAAGCATGCGTTTTCCGCGTAGGCTTGCCGCACCCAAATTTCCTTGGGCACTGCAATGGGACCTTGATGTCCTTGGTACTTTCTTAGCAGCTTGCAGCTCGCAGCTCGATGCGAATCGGCTTTAAGCTTGTTGGTGACGTGGCTTCCATCTTTCTAGCACAGCTACGGCTTCCGGTTTGTGATGCTGATGCTGTCAGGCTCGTCTTCACTTCTGTGGACATCGTGTAGCCCTCTCCTGCTGGTCCTCATGTTTCAGCTCAGGCCACGAAAAAGGCTGCACAGAGTTTCTAGTCATCACGAGTCATCACTATCGGGCTACGGGGCTACATCTATTAACTTACAACTTTGTGCGAATCACACTCCGGTTACTGTAGAAATACATTGAAGGACTGGTGCACGCAGCGTGAGGGCTCTTCTACCTGAGGGTCTCCCCCACAGCGGCACTTTGGCCCGCGGCCTGGCGGAAGCCAAAGCCATTGCAGGCTCGATGCCTCCTGGAAGCCACATCGCGCTGTGAGCCAGGAGATGTACCTTAGAGGCCCATCTCAGGCATTTACAGGGCGCGTGAATTAAGGAGCTCGGGCCAACACAGCAACTGACCAGATGCAGAAAACACCAGCAGTCACCAGCACCATGCGACTTAAAAATGCTTCTTCGCCTTTCGGCTCCTCTCCATGCGCAGCCCACCCCACCCTCTCCCGGTCTCCCCCTCTCACTATCTCAGCATCTCAGCACCAGTCACCAGCCACTCCGGCGTCGTCTTGCCTCTCTCGCTCTCTCAGAATCTCTGCTGCGCCCACCTTCCCCGCAGCTGAAAGGCTCCATCTCTCACTCACTCTCTCTTTCGCTCCATCTCTGTCTTTGTCTCTCCTTGTGCCGGGGAACGATTTGCAGGCCCCACGGTTGGGGCAGAGAAGGTCATTATCCTGCGTACAGCCAAACGCCCGCGCGCAGGTCTTAAACTGCTGAAGATCTTGTCTCATGGATACTTCAGCTGATACTATACTCAGTTTGATTTGACTTTGAGTATCTTCTTGAAGTAACAGAGCTTCTCAGGAAACGGTGCTAGCATGCATAGGATTCTCCCACTTGGGGTCAGAAAAACACTTCAAGACCCAGTGCTTCATGCTCAGCCTCTTGGGTGCACCGGCAACTGACCTGGCAGCACGCTTTCGAAGGTTCTCGAAAGAACGCAGTAGCTTGACTCTGTGATAGCTGGGATCAGTGCTCTTTCTTCTGCTTTGGTGCCTGTTCGGTGAAGGTGCGGAATCCTTCCACCAGGAGCGGGCACAACCCTCTCAGATCGGGCAGCAGACAGCGCTTGACAGTACGGCAAACATGGTTGAAAAGCATTGGATTGGCTAGGAGCTAAGCGTGCTTGCAACACGATACTGCGAATGACGAAGGGCAGCATACCATGGGCCTGCCAAGGCTATCCCCGTGCTCTTCCATAAAGAAGACGCCCTCTTCAAATCAATGGCGACTCGGATGTGTCTCCGCAATTAGCAACAAAGGCCCAAGCCTTCATACTACTTCATACGACTACTTTTCCTATGAAACAAGAGACACAACCGCTGGCCGCGGGCCCACGGGGCCACCGCCGTTGAGGCGAAACATTTGCTTGGCAGAGACAAGAGAATCGCGAGAGTGTCGAAAAATGCGAGTAGCGCTCTGATGCTCTATGATCCCGTATTCGAGCGAACTCCCAGCTCTGAACCTGAAACCTAACACCGGCTGGAGCAATGCTTCACTCAAAGTGACATGCATGCACACTGATTAGAAGACTCTCTGAAGGATACGTTAAAACTTCGCACTTCCTTTCGTCTCTCCAAATGCCTGGCACCCAGGAAGACCTGTTCAGCCTTCACAGGACATCACAGAGAAGCGACGCTACTGGTCGCACTGGTGTCCACGATGTTTGCCACGATCCTTGTTGACTTTCGCGGAGTGCCCAGTAGGTCGGTCGAGCTACCCGATACCTTTTGTGGCGATTTGAGGGTGGCAAATATCTTAGTGACACCCACTGCAACTTTCAAGCGACTTCACCCTGTGATCTTCAACGTTAGCACTTTGCCAAGACTGCGCGTCCTGGACGAACAGCTCTGTGCCTGTCAACAGCTTGGCAGGATCTGCAGAGCAGTCAGCTGACGCAAGACAGGCACTTCGACCACCGCCATGAGATTCCTTGAGTGACATGCTGGTCTCGGTTCCACTGCATTTTGTCGCTTAGCTATTTCGTCAAGTACTACGTTTCAGTGTGACCAGCGTGGGGCGGGGCTGGTGACCGCAGTAACCGCTTCTGTTCAGATGTGCAGGTGCCTGTATTCCGCTCCAGAGCCTCAAATCGAGGGACCGGCTCAGCGTGGGTGTACACACCTTGGACATGCTTCGCTGCCTAACTCTGGACAAAACACTGCAATCGGACATGCCGCTTTTCGCACAATGACGGCTGCGATGTCGAAGCTACCTCTCGAGCTTGCAGGTGCAGATTGCATGCAGTGAGCTCTGCTTGAAACGGGTGGCATAACTGACGTCAGACTTTGCCAAAAAGAACTTCCTTGCTCGGGGCTTCGTCCACCGTGGGTATCGTCCAATCTCTTCTGCAGCCTTGCAGGCATGCCAGCAGAGTAGGATTTATGGGTGGCGGTCGCGCCCCACTTTAACAGTACAAGTTACTTCAGACTCATGCTGGGATGTCGCGATGTCGCGGCCGTGCCTGCATGAAATCCTTTACTGGTGCGCTAAAAAGCCCTGGAACCTGCATCACCGTGTCTGCGCAGGGGTTATGGATACCAGGGCTGCAGCAGGAAAAGGGGGGTCCAAGCGGTCACACCTCTGCATGTTGCGTGCCCGCCAGCAGGGCCTTATCCGCCTCCTAAAGATCTCCGCGAATCCTTCAAAAACTCCTTCCAGGTCCCGAATGTTGCGATGCACCCGGATGCAGGCGGAAGCGGCAATGCCAGTCGATGACAAGCACTTTCTACGATCTTGTATCAAGGATCTATTGTGTTTCATGCTGGCGCGACGAACATGCATGATTTTTCGGAGGGGCCAGAATGGCCCGACACAACCTCATTAAATCGCCGAGCAGCTTGTCGTTCTCGGAGCGCAGCTGCCCGAAGCTGCGCAGAAGCTCCGCATGGCCTCTGTGCAGCTACGGTCGCTTCATGGCCCAGTTCAAAGGATGCGGCGTTGCCCAGACAAGTTGTGTTGCTTGACATCCAAAACCAAGTGGAAAAGTCGCTCGACTGCGAGGCCGTGTCCCTAATTCTGACGGCCTTGCTGGGCCGCATCCAGCTTGTTTCTAAGCTGCTCGTGGTTTTCGCGGAGAGTGGTCTCGGAGGACCTACGGAGGACATGCCAGGATCAGCGCTAGCTTTGAATCGGCGCACAGCGAGGGTATTGGGCGCTGGCAGGTCTGATGGCAGGTACTTCAGAACACACGAATTCGCGACACCGACGATCGTTGGACTGGCATTTCCTTTAGCTTCCCCCGCTCCCTGTATGCACTGATCACCTCGATTCTTGGACTTCTCCCTGCAGTCGCTGGTTCTCCTCGCATATTACACTGCATGCATGGTTGCGACTGCTCTACATACATGAGCATTAGCAGTAGCGTGTATGCATGCCAAGCTACCTTGGAGGCGGAAATCTTGCACCGCCCAGATGCTGACACATGACATCACCCGGACACCCTCCCACGGCTCTTCTCCGGACTGTACATCAATGTCAAACATTGGTACTACCCGTCAGCATCGTCAAATCGAGATATGGAGAAGCTTCAAGGAAGGGATATTATGTGTTGGAACGATGTGCTTGCGAAGGCTGTTGAACATACCTCTGGAGGGCTTTCCTCATGCTCAAGGTGAGCAGGCTCGATCTGCTGTGTTGACTAAGCAGGTATAATTTCATTCTGTACCTTCCTGACAGTTCTCGCTCAGTAAACACTTCAGTCAAGACTACAGTCAACACTATCAACATGCTCTAAACAAGCGCAGTTCAACGGCAATTGCTGGAAGTTACATTAAAGAAGGAAAGAATCCGAATTTTGTTGCTCTTCATGCTGGAGTGGAGAAAATGCTTGCTTTTTGCAGCACTTCGGCAGTGGCAGTGTTAAGTGCAGTGTTGACTGAGTGCCAGCCGTGTAAAAACAGAGAGAGAGAGAGAGAGAGAGAGAGAGAGAGAGAGAGAGAGAGAGCTTATGTACCATGTTGCCGTCCAGAGCCACGCTAGACATTTGGACAAGCCACCTACTCTGCTTGTTGGTCTATTCAAACTGGTGCAAGATTTCCTCCATCAAGAGGATTATAGGACCCTAAACTCGGGCCTGCACTGCATGCTGACCAGAGCAAAGCGACACCTTTCTATGTAGGCCGTCAGATGCGTATGCCTCCGACGGAGACGCTATTTCGCTAGCCACGAACAAGAATACAAGTATCAGAAGTCACCCGATCTCCTCCACTCGTTCCTTGAGCTCTTTGCTTAGCCGCTGCTGCTCGGCAGAGCTCCTCGGCGCTGGCACAAGCGCAGTAAATCGTGAGAAGCAGTGAGGCGAACACTTCTTGCACAAGGCGTCTGGGAAAGAGGCACCGGACCTGAAAGGCAAACAAAACAAGACACACTACGGCATTTCCATCACTTAGTCGTGGCTGGCAAGTTGCTGCTTCTTCTGGAGCTCAAGTTCCTGCCAATCACTGGGTCGAAGGCAACATGCAAGCATGGACTGGGCAAGCGGATCAGGGCCCATCAGGTTTTATGCTTGATCCGTGATTAAAGGCATGGATCACGACAAGTCCCGCGATTCCTCGCGAGACCACAAATGGACCACAAATGCATCGACATTTCTGAATCACAGGAGTGCGTTTTCCCGAAACAATCCGAACCAGTTTTGCGCGGCAACAGCATCCATCACTTAACCCTCGCCCCCGGTGCTGCAGGCCGCATCGAATCCGTCAGATCCCACGATCGCGGCAAACCCTAGGCGACAGCAACCCGAGAGTTTCGCGCAGTATGCGCCAGGCCACCGCTGGCACGGGGCCGCAAACCGCTTGCCGCTTGGCACCCTAGGCTAAATCTTGTCCCGGTCCCGCTCTGGCCAGGTGCAGTCAGCACACGTGAACGATAATTAGTCTGACAATGTCTGACAGCATGGTCATGGCCCACGTGGCACAGATTCTTTGCTACCCGGCGTCGGTCAGCCTCATTAATTAAGCATGTCACACTGACCGACCGACACGGGGCTCCTGCTGGGCTTTCTCCAAGCCGTCTTTCATCTGCTGAAGCTCCTGCTTGGGAAGTTTGCGCAGTCAGGCGGGCAAGTCTTTGAAAGGGATGGTTCGGGGGATCGAGCATCAGGGAACATCCCCATCTTCGCCTGCAATTGCAGCTTCTCCGCTAGACTTCAACGGGCTAACACGCCTTAACACGGCGGAATGGACAGCCGATGTCCATCAGCCTTGACAGAACCAGTACATGCAGGGTGCGATTCCCGATCTCCCGATCTAGCAGTCTCACCGTAAACTCAACGACTCAATGTAAGTGTATTGTCGATTGTATTGGGCCATGCCTGACTTCGGTGATTGCCTTCGGGACATCCGTGAAGCTCAAACACCGCCCGCATCACCAGCCCGTTATCCACTCCACCAAAAGCTGCTGCAGTATTGATCAGATCCGGTGTTAACAGGAGGATATCATCTCAGCCTATGATGAAAAGTGTTCATGTGCTGGAGTCAGTGTAAGCAGTGCCTTAGGACACACTGTGGTCGTCTTCGACGTCGTCATCTGCATCGACAGCTACGTCCCCATGAATCTAAAGCACCTCCTCCTTAACAGCCAGAATCGCTCCTCTGTGAGATGCCTCTTTTCTTCTTGCAGCTTTGCGGTCTCCGCCTGAGCCTTCCTCAGCATGCAACCTACTCTACAAGCTTTTTGGTTTGACTTTGCGGCTCAGCATCTCGAACGACTCGCCCCACCCGGCCTCACTGCACGAATCTGTGCCTCCTCATCACGATTAGCAGTGGTCGCCTTTTTTGCACGGCCTGGTCCGCAGATCTTGGCCCTAATGCGTCCGTGTTTGTCTTGACCTGACGTGCCTCAAAAACTGACTAGAAATGACCAGAGACTGGTCTTCCCTATTGTTCTCACAGTTGTTGCTCCCG